AGAGAGAAGAGAGAGAGAGAAGAGGGAGAGAGAGAGAGAGAGGAAGAGAGAGTATGTTGTGCTCTATTGAATTTCAACTAAACTACCTTCCACAAACGTTTTCATTATAGAAAGCTTGTTAAGAGGCACAACTAATTATCTCATTTTGTGATTTTATTTGTATTACTCGAATCATGCTGTATATGTATGATAATGCTTTCTCTTTTTCTTTCTTTCTTTTCTTCCTCCAATTATAATTAATACATTCATATCAATCATTGAAACAATTTCTTAAGCAAATTTATCGACAAATTTTACTGCAATTGTTTTCGAGTTTACTTTATATTAAATGAAAAATTCGTCATTCATTGTTAGTTGAATGTAGATTGTATGGAGGGAAAGTTTGTTACAATTTTCTTTTTATTTTCAAAAATTCATTGAGTAAAAAAGTTGAGGATTAACTTTTTTTGAAGAAAGTAAATAAATAAAAGATAAAGAAGAATAAATGAGAGAAATCGATTAATTTACAGTATTTGCAGATTTTTCAAAAAGCAGAAAATTGTGAAAGAAATCAAGAAGAGAAAACAAATAGTGAAAATATCAGCAATGTAAGAGAGAAAAAGCTTAGGAAGGAAAGAAGGAAAGTTGTAGTATGGAAGATAATTGGGAAAATCACTGTTCCTTTATGTGCGATTTTCAAATAAAAAGTAAAAAAAGGAAGAAATGTTAATTTGAAATTTCTTTTCCAAATTTATTCCAAAATGAGAGAGAAAGGGAGAAATAAGTATAAAAAATGAAAGTTTTTAAAACTTCCTGCATGTTTATTCATTTTTACATTTTTATAAACAGCAATTTTTTATATTTAATAAAATTATTTTCGATAAAGGATGAATCAAAAATAAATAAATGGAAAATTAATTATTAATGATTTAATCTTAATTACAAAAAAAGAACATATCCTTGTTAGCATATCATACGATGAATTAAAATATTAATAAGTATCGAAATCACATTGAAATGCCAAGTAAACCACTTTCATATGGAGTAACCGTGTATTTAAGACAGTATATTATATAATCCTCCCAGTAATTAGAATAAATGATGGATACTGCAGTTAACATGAAATGAAATTACCATACGTGCAATTACCATAAGTATTTACCAAATTACCGTAAGTAGGTTGTTGAATTGTATTTTCTACTATTCAAGATTTTGTTCCACATTAAATAATGGATATTCTGCCATGAAGACGAGAAAATATTTAAAAATGAATACTAATAATAATCGGAAAGTAAGGACAAAATAATATTTCTAATTGTATGCCTTTCCGGTTTAACATTTACAATACTTTCATAATATTAACATTTATAATATCATGTAAGCTAAGTTAGAATTTTAACTTTCTTCAAAATAATATTCGAATCCGTAAAGGATTATATGTATACAATACGTAACACAAATTGTACTATTCTTTTTTGCCATTTTTAAATTTTTAGTTTTTTTTTATTTTCGTTTTATATAAGTAATAAAATATTATGTCGAATGTAACACTATATATTATAGTATTACATTCAATATATATGAAAACAAAAAGGGGAAAGACATTGACATTGTCACTTTTGTCACAAACAAAATGGATAGATAATAGATCAATACGAAAGACAGCCTAAGATAGGCTCATCATGTAAGCTAAGTTAGAATTCTAGCTCCCTCAGTAATACGCATTTGTTAATTGTTTAAAGATTTAATAAACCTTATTTTGCCTTCTCTCCTACTTATGATACTTATGGCATAACTGCAACAATTATATTGGATTTCAAGCACAGTAAGTTACAATAAATTTTCGAAAAAAAAGTTTTCATTTGTATTATTTATATTTTAATAATTATACTAATTGTAAATAAAATAAAGAATAAATAATTGAAGCATTGCTATCGTAACAAGATATAAAATAAAATTTGTTGGAGAGATAATTTTGAATGTTGATATTCAATGAATTAATAAACAGAGTAAAAGATTATGAATTCGTCAATTTTTCTCAGCTATTTTAAATCGGATTAAATAAATGAATTAATTGATAAAAGTAAGATTAGGAATAATTCAGAATCATCTGAGATTGTTGTATGTTTGTTTTCTTTTTCCTTTTTTTTCAATTACTAATACGATCATTTAACTATACGGTAGAGCAAAGCTGTTATTGTAATGAACAAATTTAGAAAAAAAAAAGAAGAAATAATTGAAAAGACGAATTCATGACAAGCCTATCTTTTCATCATTAAATTTCGGAGTACTTTCAGGAAAGAGAGGATGAGGAAAATTTGATTCCTTCAAGTGACTGGTGAATAAGAGAAAAACGACATGAATATGTTCATCTTTTTCCTCTAAAATGTGAA